TTTTTACCGAAAAAAAAATGTACCCATGTCGGAATTATACCAGGTGAAGTAATTAGAGCGAGAAGAAAGATTTTGACACTGCCTTATATGAAAAATTGCCTTTAATTTTTGTCTATAACGCAGCCGAATGTCAGAAGATAAAGCGAGAAAGCTGTTTTATTACTTCACCTGTTTATTACGCCATGAATTTACCTACCCCTATTTTTATACCCGAGCGCACTTGTGCACAAGGGTATTATAACTTTGTTCACATAACGGTTGTTTGTAACAGGCAAAACGAATCGAGATAGATATAGACAAATGTATACATAAATGATCAGAATGAAAAGAGAAATCGATTAAGCGGTGACTGTCTGTCCGTCCGTCCGTCCGTCCGTCCGTCTGTGCACACGATAACTCGAGTAAAAATTGAGATATCTTAACGAAACTTGGTACGTGGACTTCTTTTGGGCATGGGACGGATGGTATTGAAAATGGGCGAAATCGGACAATAACCACGCCTACCTCCCATATAAAGGTAATTTTCAGAAATACGAAAAGTGCGATATTTTAGTAACTACTGAAGATAATTCACTCAAAATTGATATTTACAATGAGTTTTAGACGAAAAATAAGAATATTAAAAAATTTTGGCAAATGGGCGTAGCCACGCCTACTTATGGTTACATGCGTATATCTTGGTAACCGCTGCACCAATTTCTTCCAAACTTGGCACAGTTCTTGATCCTGCTACAACATATTTAATGGCCGAAAATTTTTAAAATCGGACAATAACCACGCCCACATCCCATATAACGGTAATTTAGAAAAATACGAAATCCTCGATAAATCAGTAAATATTAAAGCTAATTTATTCAAAATTGATGGTTGCAACAATTTTTTACCAAGAAATACGCTTATGATAAAATTTTGGAAAATGGGCGTGGCACCGCCCACTTATGATCACATATATGTATCTCGCTAACCGTTCTAGCAATTTGAACCAAACTCGGTATGATTATTGTGCTTGCCACATAAAAGCAAAGCGTTGAAAATTATTGAAATCGGACTAAATTACGACCGCTTTTAATATAACGGTATATTTCAGTAATGCTTGAAACTTCAATATTTCGAAATTTAAGGACGCTAATTTACTTAAAATTTATACACCCCGGCTTATCGTGTAGCGGTAGTTTTCGGAAAGGTGGAAAACATATATTTAATAATTGCGCCGGGTATTTAATGTTCGGCTCCGCCCGAACTTAGACTTTCTTACTTGTTTTATTTTGAAATCAAAAAATATTTAGTGCGACCTCAAGCGCTCAAAGTTGTCCATGTATTTTTAAAAACAACTTTTTGAAGAAATGGTACATAGTTCTTGAAAAGCAATATTTTTGAATCGGAAACCCCTATTTAGCTTCAGGAGATTCCAGATAATAACCCACAATAGTTTATTTAACAATTTTTTCATAGTAACTATATTTTATAAGGCTGCTCGAAACCCCAGAAAACGCAATGGGGGTACCAATAAAAATCTTTAGTATCAAAAAATTATCAAATAAACAATTGGGTATTATTATCGGAAGTCTCCTGACTAAGAAAAGTTGTTTTTTTCCATATAAAATGCATGGAAAACTGCGCTTTGAGCGACCTCTAAATATTTTTTGATTTCAAAATAAAAAATAGGGGTATATTTTTTTCGATATAGAACAATCCTAGGGAGTGAGAGCATTAAAATTCTGACTTTACTTCTTTGGACCACCCTAATGTATATATGTATACTGTGAGTACAACAACGTGCCAACATTTGCAGTCAATGGAAATGAATGAAGCGCAACCAATGCTGCACACTTTCGTTACAAACCACTGAGCAATAACATTGAAAAAGGGAACCCAATATTGTTAAATAATTTCAGCATAAATAAATATGCGTAACTACACTCTTAGATAGTTAAATTCATAAAGCATAAAAATCACATAACTGAGAACCACGCATTCCACTTTGTCATTCATAAAACAAACAAAAAATCTGATTTATCTATGAAACATCTACACAAACGATTCCGTGTTTTTTGAAGTCACGCTTAGTGAATTTTAAACTTCGACTTGTTAGCACATTCTCAAGCAAGACTTTATGTGACTGCAAGTGTATACACACAGACATATGGCGTACGTATGTATGTTTGTCAAATTACTGAAAACCATAAATTTTATTTATACAAAAAATTAGCAAATCCTTTGTCATCCGAACTGTGTGCGAACCCCTTTATTTATTTCTTTAATTATATTATGTAGATTTTATTTATTTGATTAAAAGTAGCTTTTTTACCAGCAGATGATGTCATCTCTGTTGAATTTGTTTTTCTATTTGTTCTTGTTTCCGCCCAACAGTCGCTGAATTCGTAGTTTATTGATTTATTTAATACATATTCTACTAACTACTTACATACATACATGTATACAAACTTTCAGCTGTTTGCACATAAATTATTGAGTAAAAGGGCTTTATGGTGTCATATGTCTCTAATGAAGAAAATACATTTTCTGCCAAGCCGGCAGTCTTCAGCAGAGCTAACTATACAAGCCCCATAAATCTAGAAAGAAGTGTGATGGGCAGATAGTTATGGTGATCTCAAAAAGAACAGCTTCAACTTGTACCGCTTAGCCTGAATCCGTTCTGACACTGAATTTTACACAACGCCGTCTCAAAAATAAATTTGACAAGGTATGACGGAAATTCATTCCAAAATACATCATCTTCTCACCCTGTCGGAAGAATCAACCAACACCAACAAATAGTAATTTTTCATAATCGATTACGTATTCTAGCTCAGCTACATATTCTAACTCTAGTTCACTATGAATTTTCATCCAAATTTAAAATTTTCTCAGAAAAAGAATCTTTTTGAGTATACACTTTTGTAGCCCATTAAATTCTATTGCAATAATATGCAAGT